CACTGCTCTTCTACATCTCTTCCCTTTAAGGGGTGCAACAGCGAACACCTTCTCGCGTTCCCCCTTTGCACCCCTCTTTCTCTTATTCAAATTCTTTGAAAACCTAAGAGGAGCATCTTCGTCCTCAGTTGATGTGTCAGGTGCTGGTGGAGGAGCATCCTCTGATTGCTTTATTTTCCTTCCAGTGTCCTCTCTTAGAGTGTCTGTTTCCAAACAATCCATTTGAAGTATAAATATTAAGAAAACTTAGCCCCATCTATCTAAACTTAACAATCAATCTGTAACCCTAACAACTGATGCCTAAACATATGATGAAAAAGTTGCTAACCTATACAAGTTTACGTCTTCGTATCATGTCCTGCAGAATGGACATTATCCACCGGCGTTATTTTCCTTCTAGTTTCCTCGCGTTGAGTGTCTGTTTCTAAAAATATTCAGAGTATAAATAATCAAAAACTTAACAATCAATACATAGAAATAACAACCAATCTCTAACGTATAGTGCAAAAGCGAGCTGACCTGTACAAGTTAGCAGTTCCTTCACTGGCTTGGACACATTCTCTCCCTCGTTTATTTCTTCTTTAAAAGCCGCATCAATACGATAGTCCTCTGGTGGAGGTACTTCCCCTAGCGGAGCATCTTCACTCTCCTTATTGATATCAGAAAAAATGATGGTGGATGGGCTCTCCCTATTGGAGGGTGCTCGCTCTCCTTATTAGCTTCATCAAATAATGATTGATTAACATCCCCCTCGTACTATATATCAATGCCACCCACGGTGCGTGGAGTGTCTGATTCAAAAAATAAACAAATGAGCTTAAGTACTTCATTGTCAAAAAAAAAAAACATAGCATGAGTTACATAACCCTAACAACTAACCCAAATACTTAACAATCAATCTCTAACCTTGGCAATAAATCTGTAACCTTAATATTAGATCCATAAAGTTAACAATAAATTCTTAACCTTAACAAAAAATCCATATACTTAACAATCAACCTTTAAACATAACACGCTAACGCAATTACAAGCCACATCTAACCTGTACAAGTTTGCAGCTCCATCAATGAACCAGACACCAATCCCGTAGGCCTCTTTTCCTTATATATAGAGAGGGTTCTGGATCGTGCTTCGCTTAGTTCCTCTCTCAGCCTTCTATTTTGAGCAAACAACTTAGCCACCTTCACATAAAGAGCACTTATCTTTACACGGTCGGCAGCAATCATACCCTTGAATTTATTATCGTTATCACGATGTAATGCTTTGTTCATTGATGCGATGCTCTTCCAGTAGATCACTTGCTGAGATAATTCCATTTTCTTAACTGTCTCATTTAGCTGCTCGGCGTCTTCATCAATATCCTGTGGCATCACCTATGCAATGGACAAATAGAGTATTATTAAAAGGATTAATTAATTAAAAAACAAATAAAATTCACAACTGCTAAATTCTTACATCTACATCAATTGGGATGTCATCTTCTGCTCCTCTCTTCTTCTTGTGAAGAAGGTGTCTTCGGCCACGCGTCCTGCCGGCATCTACTGCAACCGGTCCCTTAATCATCCTCTTCTCTCTCTCTCTCTCATCTTCTCTTCCTCTTTCCCCTTCTCCTTCCCTCACAAACCGCCCTTGATTCTTTGAAATTGCCCATGTTGCTATGGAAGCTTTATCGTAGTTTTGCTTGCTTTAGCTACAACAATGGCCAATCTCAAAGAATCAGTAACCTCTCCAAGTCTCACCCAATTTGTGAGGGGAGGCCTCATCGTACATCCAACTACTGGCTTCTTGATGCCGGTAAGTTCATAGTAGCACAACTGCATGTTAAAGAAATAAAAACTTAACAAACACCCTTATCCTTAACAATTAATAAGTAACCCTAATAATAAAAACGTAACCTTAATAACCAAACTGTAACATTAACAACCAAACCGTAACCTTGACAACAAAACTGTAATATTAACAACTAAACCCTAACCTTCACAATCAGTAATAAAAGACATGATTACTTACACAAACTAGCAGGGTACACCCTTGTAGATATAAAGTCGTCTTCCCTGGTTCAGGACCCTTCAGTGCCATCTCTATCGCGTCAGATGTCTCACTGAATATATAGGTCCCCAAGTAGTGTTATTGACCTGTTCGATGCTGTCGACGTACTTGAATAAATGCCTAGGAACACCAGAAACATTGCTTGGATACCAAATCACGCTCAGCTGATGGAGGATCTGTAGCAGGACAAAGTCCTTCACATCTCAACGATCAGCCGATAGTACCAGCTTCAAGAGCAGTTGTTCCACATTGCGTCTGGTGGGGTCTCCTTTAGGGGGAGCTATACTACTAGCACCCTCGGCCTCGGGTTTGTTAAAAAACCTGGATCAAATCCTATTTTTCCTATCCCGGTTGTGGTCAACATGAAGCCCCTCATTGGAGAACCATGTATGCTCCATTACCCACTCAAGGTTGAATGAGCAAGCGATCTCTTCTCTATCATTCCTATCAGTGAAGATGAATTTATTCCTTTTCTTGTCCCACTAACTCAAAATATGCTCAAATGTGGGAAGATCGACACCAGGTGGGCCAAAATGGACGTAGTGTTTGAATACACTATCTTCATAGGCCGCAAAGTGCCTTGGCTCCATATGCTACACCAAACTCCGCATGAAGTCATGATAGGCACTGAAGCTGGTGGTGGGCCGCAACATAATAGTTGGCTTTGCCCTTTTTCTACATAACAAAAACACAAGACATAAGCATTTTTGAAAATAATCAGTAAACATAACAACTATGCTGTAAACTTTACGGAGAAACCAACAACCTTAACAACAACCCCGTAAACTTAACAACCAAAGCCTAACCTTAACAACCAAACAACAACCTCAACAATAAAAGCATGAACCTTGCATGTTAACAGTAACCTCAATAGCTAACGTACACCCGTAATTTTGGACCTTCCCACCAAACTAGGAGAATTATCAATAAAACCATAACCTTAACAACATAAAACTTGCGGTAAAAATTACCTTTTGGGTGCTGCCACGTGCTTCTCTTTTTCTCCTCTCTGTAGACCAAGGAGCGCTCTAGTGGCATCGTGTGCTGCCACGTGCTTCTCTTTTTCTCCTCTCTGTAGACCAAGGAGCGCTCTAGTGGCATCGTTGGACGTGGCGGTGGTGCCAGTGCTGCCCTCTAGACCTTCACGGGGGCCTACACTTAATTTTAAGGTGGACTTCTGGGTTAAGAATGACTGGTTGCGATGTCCTCTAGAACATTAGTAATCATAACTTCAGCATCAAATTCAGTACGCACTGTAGTTGTCTGGACTCTTTCTGAGATTTCGAATTGCTGGACGTCATCGCTTTCACTATGTCTGTGGTCGGCATGGAGGCTTACTTTGGGGGTTGAATTGCCATCTATTTTAATCCCTTTGCTTTGATTCGGTTTGCATTGGAGTCGGTTGATTTAGGGCTAGAGTTTTAAAATGAGTTTTTGGAGTCGGTTTGCTTACAGAAGAGAGATGATATGATATAGACATGGAGGTAACTCATAACAGGGAATTTTAAACGGAAGGGTATTTTGGGTATTTCATGTGGGGTTTAAATGGAGTTACGTCTGGGGATTCGTTTTGGGGGCTGAAAGAAAATCACGGAGCATTTTAGGGGAAAAGCACCCGTTAAAAAGTCTTGGGGGGGAGGGAGAGCACGTTTTCTTGTGTTTTGGGGGGCTGAAAGCATTTTCCCCTTAATTTTAACTTCACCAGCCAACCATTAATCAGCAACCTCATTACCCTCGCCATAGATATGTGGTACCTGAATCCAAATCTTCTAACCTCTGTCATAGATCTTCGTTGCTAGCTTCAGACCGTTCCACAAGCCTCTAACTTCTGCGCGATGAGGTGCAACCTCGTGTCATATTGCTCCATCGAAGTTCAGCTTCATCCAATCTGGTTCCGGTACATTCCACTTGACGAGTATGCCTTTGGGGTTATACGAGGTTGAGCTTTGACGTTGCTGCTGGGGTAGTGCACTGAGTAAGTCATCATCGAGCATAGTGCTGGTGTAGAATGGAAGAGGAGGAGGGCAAGATAAACCAGAATGAATGCAGTAAACATCGAACGGACAGTAACGATCTGCCAATATAGCATCGGAGCATCACCCATGAAAAACATATCTGCAGCCGTGGATGTTCCGAAGCAAAAGCTTTATTTAGGAGAGAAAACTCTGCTCCTTATAAAGAGGACCACTTTGTATTTCGAGTATGAGTGGGATTACTAATCCGTTTCTATAATGGACTCCTGTTGGGAGATAAGAGGATCACTGGTAGGGTTTCTATCGTAATGTATGGGTTTGTATTTCGAGTCTTTTTAGTTCTAACTGGATAAGGACAAGGGATTAGTGTTAGGAAAAAGGTGTTGTTTAGACTGTAATTAGCACGAAATGCAGTTTTAACAGTTAATTGAAATAAAAAATTAACAAATTTAGATAATGATTCAAAATAGATATTTAATAAAATTAAACAAAGTTTAGAATATAGCCTGATGATCGAAGCGTGTTACGCACTGTCCTAAGAATATAATTGCTCCCTCTCGTACAAGGCTACACGATAATAGATCTCAGAGATACTACGACCCTCGGTCAGGTGACCTCCTTCTCGTCGACACGAGCTTCAAGAAGGCTTTGCGAATTCTTCAAGACTTTTAGGGAACCAACAAAAATATAACATCAAGAAGAAATATTTCGAAAAGAAGAAGAGGAGAAGAACTGTTATTCACAGTGTTTAAAACCCTCGTAGCTTTAGGTCATTTTATAGGTTAAAAACCGCCGTTTAGATCCATAATTATCGCCCATTTAGATCCACAAATCACGCATCCGTTTAGATCCACCAATCTCGTGCCTGTTTAGATCCACAAATCTCGTAGCTAAATGTTTAACACGTTTTAATTGTTCCAATTTGTAAAAATAAAAATCTAAAATATAGCAGGTTAAGAGCCCCTCAATCCGAAGCTGCATTCGCGTCTGCAGGTTGTGGGCACGTGCCTCTCGACCCGAACCGGTTTGGTTCGGCGCGCGCGTGTGGTATGGAGCATAACTATATTTCCTTCTAGGCATAGGAAAGAAATGGAAGGCTTATAAACAACCATCATTCCCATCTCCTATCCAATGTGGGACTAAACTTCGCCACTCCAAAATCAAGTTTTAAGTTATAACTCCAACAATCGCCCTCATAACTTAAAACTTAGAATAACTCAGAAATAAGAGTAAAAGAAGAACTTTGAAAACAAGATTGTTGGTTCCCTTATACTATGTAATAGGTGGAGGTAAATAAGAGTAAAAGAAGAACTTTGAAAACAAGATTGTTGGTTCCCTTATACTATGTAATAGGTGGAGGTACCTTTCGGTTTGAACCTTCACTTAGTGATAGTTGTATAGATCCGTGAGAGCTTGGTGGACTACGTCTTGAACCTATCCTATTTATCAGATTTTTACAGAAAGCACACATAGTATAGTTTTAAAGAATTCTAAGCGGGTTGCACTATTATCGGCCTTGCACATGTATCTTTCATGTGTGTTACTTGCAAGCGGCCCTGATCCTATAGTCGCGACCTCACAACTACACACATATAGGTAAATCCTAATAAGGATACGAGTAAGTAAGCATTCTGCCTCATGGGTCTTAGATTCATTTAGAGTTAAACTCAATCTTTCACTTGCTTTTTATTAGCACTGATCATCCTAGGGATGGGAGCAAATGAATTCAGTGCTCCTCACAATTAATCACTCGTCCAGTTTGTTTCTACCCATTGAACCTCTGCGAGATTGGGTTGCCACTACAGTGATTTTTCTTATGGGCTTAACCCCATCCCCCTCGATGATTCTAGGATCACTATCCTAGATAAGTCTTTAGTTAAGTGATCTGCAAGATTTTTCTCTGATCTTACAAATTCTAAGGCTATTACATGATTTTTCATCTTATATCCCAAGGATTTATATCACACTTTCAAGTGTCGATTCATTTTCACATTTGCATTCTCTTGATGACACTTGTTAATCGCTGACCTGCAATAACAATGAATAGAAATAGCTGGTAATGGTTTTTGTATTAATGGAATTTCAGTTAGTAAATCTTTCAACCATTCAGCTTCTATACTAGTAGTATCAATGGCTATTATTTCTGATTCCATTGTACTTCTAGCCATTACAATTTATTTAGTAGATTTCCATGAAGCAGCTCCTCCTCCCAAAAGGAACACAAATCCAGTGGTGGATTTTACATCTACTGAGTCACTAATCCAATTTGCATTTGAGTAACCTTCTAGTACAGATGGATAACCTTTATAATGCAAAACATAATTGAGGGTAACATGTATTTTTCTTTAGATGCACATTAGGATCATATAGAGTAGAAACAGGTTGACAGTTTAGATCATAAAAGTTCTTGAGGATTTTCTCTATGTAGTATGATTGTGACAGCACATATCCATTCTCATTCTTCAAGATTTTAGTGTTAAGAATTAGGTCAGCCTGACCTAAATCTTTCATGTCAAAATTTTGTGATAAAAAGTGTTTGAT